GGATCAGGCCACACCTCCACCACTGCAAAGCCACCAGTGGCTTCTGGTTATGCCTAAAATCCAAGCTTCTTATAAACACCCCACGGATCCTGTTTCGTGGGTGTTTGCACACGGCTCTGATGACCACTTGTGCACTCCGTCCGTCCACCCTTCCTTGGGGGCTCCAGTCACACCCCCCACACACAGGAGTCATCACATATGCCACCCTGGCACCAGTGTCTCCTTCTGCCTGGAGCACGGATCTTCTGGGTCTTCTTAAGGCTGGCTTCCCATCACTTAGGTCTCTGCTCCAGGGACTCCTCTCCAGAGAGGCCTTGCCAGACCGTGCCACCCGAACAGGTCTCCTTCCCACCCCCATTCACTCTCTCTCTTGTGTTCTGCCTTACTTTCTTTATATTTCATATTTTTCATGTTCACCTATTGGCTGGCTGCCTAAGGGGCTGGGTGCACATCCCCTCAGTGTAGATGGAAGACGCACGGGGATTTAAAGGAGCAGGCACAGACTGTGCTTACCTGCCCATCAGCGGCAGGGGCATGTTTGTCTAAGTCTCCCCTCTGCCCATCTACTGGTGGGACTGGAGTCCCACCAGCCCCTTCAGATGGCTCTAGGAACTTGGACAAAAGAAGTGTGCCTCTGAGTGGTAGCTGCCCCTGGGGTAAGCTGCCATTATTGTGGAAGAAATAATAATTTTCTAAACACTTGACATTTAAACTATTCAATAAGCATGACTATAGGTGGCTCAGAGAGTAAAGAACTTGCCTGCAATGTGGGAGACCTGGGTTTGATCCCTGGGTCAGGAAGATCCCCTGGAGAAGGGAATGGCAACCCACTCCAGTATTCTGGCCTGGAGAATCCCATGGTCAGAGGAGCCTGGCAGGCTACAATCTATGGGCCAAAAAGAGTCAGACATGACTGAGCGGCTACCACACTTTCACATCATGGATTGGGGGAAAAGGTGGCAGGTGAGGGGAGCAGAGGATGAGTTGGAAATAATTTCATGCTGTATTTGACATCTACTAAAAAGTCATGTGGTCATTCTTGAACACCGGATATAAAATCGATTGTCATTTCATAAACTATCTTGTGTCCTAACAGGCAAAAGACAGGCATAGCAAACATGACCACACAATGATCAGCTGCATAAACATCTCCATCAACACCTGTTTAGAGTCTCCGAGAAATTGGAAATCAATGGGATAAAAGCCAGATCAATGCCTCATCTCCCCCAGACTCACTACATTTCTAAGAGTAGAGAGAATGTCTCTTTCTGTGAAAATGGAAATAAATGAGGAAACATTAAAGACTAAATCTACTATGAAATTAGCTTGTAATTTCAAGGATTCCCCCCCAAATTAAATGCCTGGGGAAGAGGTCTGTTCTTACAGGGGAGTGACAGTCATTCAAGCTCAGTTTAAGTGGACTTTATCCTACATCCAAGACATTATTACCTGATTCTGATCACCCCTAACCTTGCCAAGCCCTCAGGCGTGTGCAGTATTCAGATAACTTTATATTAATCTTTAATCATTGTATATGACATCATGTCAAATATCATATTACTCAGGGACATTGTTTTCTTCTTAAAACAGACTGGCAACCCCTCCAGGGCAGAGATATGAGGTCTCACAGTCTTTTACCCTCTGCGTTTAATTTTAATTTTACAAGTTATAAACGTCTGTATCACACAACCCCTGTCTTCTATCTTCTTTAACACTGCATACCTATTAACGGTCATAATGCACCAGAGTACAGTTGATTTTTACAGGTTTGTTATCTTCCTTCCTCCCCACACCAGGAACATCATGAGTGCTGAAAGTATGTCTGTACCTAACCCGTGGCACTACCCTACCCAAAGCTCATGTGCATTTGTAAATGCTCTTGAAGAATTTTAAGCTGGGTTGTGAAAGTGAAAGTGAAGTAACTCAGTCGTGTCCGACTCTTTGCGACCCCATGGACTGTAGCCTCCCAGGCTCCTCTGTCCATGGGATTCTCCAGGCAAGAATACTGGAGTGGGTTGCCATTTCCTTCTCCTAGGTAAATAAGTAAAACAGAATGGAATCAATGATTAGACATAACATGACTGAAGTTTTCGAAGCACACAGGAGGAAGGGCTTGACTCTGAGCTGCTGTGTAATGTGAGGGCTAAGGTAAGAGACCCCTTTCAGGCGGCGGCCTGGCCTGAGGTGTAGAGATCTGGCCTCACAGAGGCAGGTGCTGGGGTCTCCGGCAACAAGGGTGGGACCCTGAGGCGCCAGCAGCCCAAGGTCAGGGAACCAATGCTTTGCCTGGATCCCCGCCCCCCACCTCAGCACTCCGAGTATTTTGAAATTGGTACTCAAGCGGTTAACATTAAATACATTATATTTGTTTAAATCTCAGCTCTTGAGTACTTGAATGAAGCACAGGCGTCTATGGCTATTTACATGTGAGTCCTTGACAGTCATTTTCTTAAAAGCATCACTTCACAGGAAACAACTACCAGTGCCTGCTGTCAATGCTAAAATCCGAGCTTTCAGGTAAAAATGATAATTTGGGGAAACTTCTTTCAGCCACTACTGTCTTCACAGCTTCTAATACTCAGACTCATCCAATGAGACCTTTGGGGGTATTCAGTCAACAGACATGATGCTAAATCTAGATTTGCCACCAACTGCCTATAAAACCCCTGCTAATCTTTTCCTCTCTCTGGCTCTCATATTCTAAACTTCAAAAAATTGAATAAGGATAAAGGATTTCTGAGGTCATTTCCAACTCTTCCATTTGCCTCAATTCCTGTCCTCTCTTTTTCTCATTTTCTACTTTCCTCTCAGGTTTCATTTTTTCCTTTTAAAAAAAAAATTGAATTATAATTAATTTGCAATGTTGTGTTAATTTATGCTGTACAACAAAGTGACTTAGTTATATATGCATTCTTTGTTCTAGTTTTTTCCACTATGGTCTACCCCAGGACACTGGATATAGTTCCCTGTGCTATACATAAGACCTTGCTGTCTATCCATCCTAGATATAAGAGCTTGCATCTACCAACCTCAAACTCCCATCCTCTCTGGTTTCATGGCTTCTAAGAAAGAAGCAAGGACTGGGGTAAAGAGAGGCCCCGAAGCTGTTAGATGGGAACCACGCCTCCCCTTTTGATAACGAGACTCTGCGCCATCAGAGACTGAAAACAAAGCTTCTGCCACATCCCCACAGCCCCGTGTTGTCCTGGTCACACGTGGAAGGCGCTTTCCTTCACTCCTGAAATAGAACTCAGCCCCTGTGCCCAGGTTCATGCTCAGCCGTGTCTGCCCCGTGCCCATTACCTTGAGGATGGAGGGAGATGTTGGTTGAGGGGAGGATGCGATCAGCCTGCTGCTGTCTCCCGGTCCAGTGGACCAAGGCCCCTATAGCCGTCCCGTGGTGTGTCTTGAGAGGGGCGGCCAGGTGAGAAAAGCAGGCATCCTGCTGGGAAGAAGCCAATGCTGGGGACCCCTGCTTCTGGGGGCCAACCTGTGCCTCCCCAGCAAGTCAGTTATGCCAACACTTATCTTTTGCTGTGGTTGAATTCCCTTTGAGTGTGTGTAAGAGAAATAAATATTGAGGAGAGATAGGAGGAAGATATTCTTGCTTATCTCTTTGGTTGATTTTCTGCCAAGAAAAAAAAAAAAAAAGCCCAGCCCTCTGTTTTAATGTCTGGTCTGTTTAAAACTGTCTGATTAAGTCTCCAAAGAGCCAGGCCACTGTTGGTAGTGTCGAGTTTTCTGTCTCCTCCTTTTTCCTTTATGGTCTGCAGAATGGACAGATACAAAGAAGGGGTCTCACCTCACCGTGGATATGTTTGCACCCTCATGCCTGGATCTGGGGCGGAAGGAAGTGGGCAGTGGGGGGTGGGTGGGGGGTGGAGCACTTCCCAGACACAGGACTGTTATTGCACTCGACATAACAAACTATCATCTTGAAATGAGCCCTCCAATCGAGTTTTGCTGTAAACACTAATACTCCCTCCACCCGGCTCTTCTGTTCTTAGGGAGCTCATGTATATTTCACTGTGTGTCCTCCCCACTATTACACTCATACATCAAAGGATCTGAGGACAAGGAGCCTGATTTTGAAAACATTATTCTTTTAAAGATTGATCCTCTAGTCTTGACCACCTCCTTCGCTGGAAGGGAGAGCGTCTCCATACATTATTTTAATGCGTTCTATGCAAAAGAAGCCTTCTCACCTCTCCTCCCCAAACTTTTTTGCAAGTATAATTAGGCAGGACTCTTGATTTCTTTTTTTTTTTTCCCCATCCGTGCACACTTCGGCATCTTCACAAATGGCACAAGAACGTAAAGTCGCGAGGGGAGGTAGGAGTTAGAAAATCTGAGAGGTTCAGTGGGACCTTTGAGGATGCTCAACATAAGGAGTACGAGGTCCCCTTTGGCTGCAAGAAGGGACGCTAATGAGAGCTTTAGAACACGTTTCTTAGGAATGGCATAAAGATGGTTTTTAGAGGCGGTCCTTCAGTCTGGACTGGGCTCAGCGTAACCTCCAGCGAGTGTGCTGTGCTCCGCTCAGTGGTGCTGGGGGCCCCGGTTCTGCACTCACAGCCCCGTCAGGATGCAGCAACGCTCTCACCCAGACCCTACCGCCCCTTGCGCTCAGCCCACCCAGCCATCTTGCTGGTTTCTCCCACCCTGGCCACAGCCTGGGGAAAGGGGGTCCATGGTCCCCCTGAGCCATCCCTGCCTCGGGTCTTCAGGTCCTTGTGCACCACTGGAGGAAGAGTGGACACAAACTGCCTCCAGAGTCTTCTCTTTTCTCTACCCTGAATGGGGCCAGCACTGTTGGCAACAGGCCCGAGGAGTTTCCCAGAATATTTCAGCTGCAATTACTAGGACTTAAGAAGACAGGGGCTTAGAGTTGAATGGGTCCTTTTCCAGTTGAGGATTTCCATCTCAAGGGGGCAGGTCAAGCTCTTGGCCCGGATGGTTCTGCCTCGCCTCCTTTCCTGCTCCGCATCTCTTCCTCTCAGCGGTGTGGCCTCCTGACCCCTCTCAGGCTCTCGCCCGTCACTGGGACCAGGGCTGTCTGCCGCATCCCCAGAGGCGGCACCACATCCCGCTCGGCTGCTGCGCTCGACCGCCCGGCCCGGTTCCGAGCTGGGGTTGGTCCGGCAGCCGCAGCACTGGCACCTGAGACCCAACTTGGTTGGCTGTAATCCTTCCATCAAGGGGGATTTGTCGTCCAGTCGCTCAGTCGTGTCCAGCTCTTTGCGACCCCATGAGCTGCAGCGCACCAGGCTTCCTGGCCCATCACCAACTCCAGAGCGTGCTCACACTCACGTCCATCGAGCCGGTGATGCCATCCAACCATCTTGTCCCCTTCTGTCCCCTTCTAGACTTCTGATGGGCTCCTTGCGCCCGCCTAGTGTCCTTCGAGGGCCTGTCTGGGCTTTAGGGATCCTGCTCTCCTCCTGCTTTATCCGAGTCACTCTCCCAGCTCATGAGACCTGCCCATCCAGAGAGCAACCCGGCCAGCGGGCAGGTCCACCCGTCCTCCCCTTCCTGGCCGCTCAGTCTATAACGGGCCAGCAGAGCTAGCACAGACGGCTCCTGTTCTACAAAAAGGGAGAGAAAAACAACCAAGAGGCTTCTCCGCTGGGGCCCTGGCTCCTCCCAGGGGCACTTTCCACCTCTCCTGTCTCCTTTAAGTTCAGCAGTAAGACAGTCTCCAGTGGTGTTTAAAAAAAAGAAAAGTAGGTATACTGCACGCTCATGAAAGGTCTCCAGGGCGGGTTCTCCGGCTCCAGGAGATTCTCTGTGCCCTTCGTTCCAGCCCCACGGGGAAGTACGTCTGCATTTGCACTTGCTTTAATAGGATTTGAACGATGACTCTGGGTCCCACTTATATGCTATAAGGTTTTCATCAGCTTCGTGCTCAAAAAAGGTCATTTACAGAGCAGTTTGTGATCATTAATACAAGACAGATCTTCAAAGCGGCTTCTGAGTTAAGGAAAAAAAAAAATTCCTGGATATTTTTTGTCAAGCTGGTTATTGTGAACAGGATTTGATCACTTGAATGTATCAGTTGTAGACGGGCTGGGAAATACTGCTTTCAAATCCTAAAAAAAATCCCAATGAACCCGCCCCCTCCTCCGCCCCGTTTCCTAAAGTCCCTCATCTGGAGGCCTTTTGGGGGCCTGAAGCAAAGAGGAGAGGTGGCCCTGGTCCAAGGGAGCAGAGGACAGGCAGCAGGCAGCCCTGGAGAGGATGGAGGGGACGGAGAACAGGGATCAGGAGAGCAGCGGCTGCTGGAACGGTCCCTTCTCGGCGCCCAGTCTCAGCTCACTCGTGGAGTGCTGGCTCCACCCTGTGGCCAGTTGTGGGCACTGCGCCTCACCCACAGGCTTCCGGGCTGAGAGCTGAGGTCCGGGTGGGTGCAGATGACCTTCCTGCGTCCCAGGAGAAGCCTGGGTGGCAGGCTGACCCACTATAAAGGCAAGGTCCCCTTTGTCCCGTGGCTGCAGTGACGTAGGCAGCATGGCCTGTGGCAGGGCCGGGGACCCAAATGCCTCTGTGACCACACGGCCTGTGGCGGGGTGGGCAGTGGATGTAGGAAAGATTTTATTCATCGTACTGCAGACACATTCCCGGAAGCTTTACTATATGCCAAGAACACAATGTGAGCAAAGCAGACAGGGGTCACTGCTGTGGAGTCCGTATTCCATCCCAAGGGAGATGGTCACCAAGACCCCCTAACCTAACCTGCGGGATGCGTCCGCAGTGACAAGAGCTAGGGGCAAATGAAACCGGGGTGGGAGGGGAGCGGGTGGCCAGGGGTCAGAGGTGACGGGCACTCCTGGAGGCCCCACTTGGAGGTGGACAGGATGCCCTGTCTACACCATCACTCACCAAGGATGGGACTGCATGCAGGCGAGTGACAGGCTGGGAGGGCCCACCCACAAGCATCCTGGTGGTCCTTCCCCTGGGCAGGAAACCAATCCCACAGCTGGTGAACACACTGGGACGCTCAACCACAGCCTCCTCCTGAACACAGACATGTTCTTTGAATGCTCAAAATAATAGCACTGGAAAGAGCCTTTGGGGGAAAAAACATGCCAACGCCAGGCCTGGCCCCACCACAGCAGAGACCCCAGGGGCCAGAGTCTGAGACTTGACTGGGATTCTTGTTAGGTCAAGGGACCAAACTCAGAGCCTGCTTTGGGCCTGGCAGTGCTTTCACTGCTGCTGCTGCTGAGTCGCTCAGTCCTGCCCAACTGTCTGTGACCTCACGGACTGTAGCCCGCCAGGCTCCTCTGTCCATGGGATTCTCCAGGCAAGAATACTGGAGTGCATTGCCATTTCCTCCTCCAGGGATCCTCCAACCCAGGGATCGAACGCTTATCTCCTCCATCTCCTGCATCGCGGGTGGATTCTTTACCCCAGAGATATCGGGGAAGCCCAGTTCTGGTTTCTGATGGCAGAGCCGTGTGGAAGCAGCAGGAAGGGAGTCACTGCGCATCTCCGTGCAAGCTATCAGGACACCCCTGGCCCTTCATCCATCAGGTGAGGCTCCACCTCTGGCTCTGTGTACCCCCATCCTTGTAAAGCGGCATGCAGATACTACAGGTGGAGGCTACCCAAAAAGCAAAACCACCAAACAAATAAAGTAAAAAAAAAAATTACTAAAAGAAGTGATTACGTGTGATTCTAAGAAATCAGTTCTCACTCTTCACTCTGTTGCTCGTTTATGGTATAACATGCTTGAGAAACTGTGGAGCACGGCCATATGGATGCACTTATCCATACCCATAACAATCTTTTGAAGTATGTATAAGTGGTGCCATTTAACAGGAATCCGAGGCTCGCAGAACTGAAGCTTAGGGATCTATAGCATGAAAGGGGGACCTTGAATTTGAAAGGGGCATTTGGATTCAGACGCTAGACTCCTTCCCCCACAAACCATCGCTCATATTTCTTCAACAGTCACACATTCTCATCTATGTGGGGGGACCTCTTAAGGTTGGAATGAGGCACTCCTAAATCTGGGAGCTCTCAGACCTGACTGTGACTGAACCCTGGAAAGAGCTCAAGGCCAGAAGAATTTCAACTCCTTTATCGAGTGGGACAAACTGCAGATGGAAGGGAAACTTAGAGATGTGCTAGTTTTTCTTATGCTACCAAGGAGCAAAGTAAGATGTATGGAGGAGAAGGGATTTGAAAGGTCGTGCAAACACATTTCTGTGCCTGAGGCACCTTTCAGAGCCACCCGGAGCCTCCCCCCGCCCCCGCCCCGTCACTGCTCCATCGAGTGCCCTGTGGCCTCTTGACCCCCAGGACCAGCGCGCCACCCCTGACCTCTCTGTGGCTCACACCCACGTCCACCCATTTCCAGAGTGACACGCTGTCCAGTCTGCTTTGGGAAAATGCTCCTGACATATTCAGACAAAACCCCACCCTCTCTGTTTCATGGTCCATAGAGAGGCTTGAAGGATGGTTATCTTTGAGGGTAGATTTATAGGTAATTGTCATTCTTTTTTTCTATATTGTTCACTATTTTCACTTCTAACAAAGAAAACATATTTCTTTTCTAAACATGAAATAATACACAACCTTTTAAAGCCTTTTCTCCGTACACTGTCACAACTAAAATTAATCTGGTACGTTTATTTAAAGTATCCAAGACAGATGTAGACAGACTGTGCTCTGGTTCCAGACTCAGTCTGATAACCTAGCTTAGTTCCTAAAGTCAGAGTTTGTCCCTCTGCAGTAGAATCAAGACATTCTGGTTTCCTGGGGACAGACTTAGACTCGGGGCTCAGGGGCGGGTGGGTACCGGGAGGTGAGGAAGCCCTTGAACTCTGTTCAGATAATTTTTCCCTAAATTGCCAGTAAATGATTCAGTTCAGTTCAGTTCAGTTGCTCAGTCATGTCCGACTCTTTGCGACCCCATGGACTGCAGCACGCCAGGCCTCTCTGTCCATCACCAACTCCTGGAGTTTACTCAAACTCATCATGTCCATTGAGTCGGTGATGCCATCCAACCATCTCATCCTCTGTTGTCCCCTTCTCCTCCTGCCCTCAATCTTTCCCAGTGTCAGGGTCTTTTCAAATGAGTCAGCCCTTTGCACCAGGTGGCCAAAGTATTGGAGTTTCAGCTTCAGTCCTTCCAATGAACATTCAGGACTGATTTCCTTTAGGATGGACTGGTTGGATCTCCTTGCAGTCCAAGGGACCCTCAAGAGTCTTCTCCAGCACCACAGTACAAAAGCATCAATTCTTCGGCACTCAGCTTTCTTTATAGTCCAACTCTCACATCTATACATGACTACTGGAAAAACCATAGCCTTGACTAGACGGACCTCTGTCGGCAAAGTAATGTCTCTGCCTTTTAATATGCTATCTAGGTTGGTCATAACTTTTCTTCCAAGGAGTAAGCATTTTTTAAATTTCATGGCTGCAGTCACCATCTGCAGGGATTTTGGAGCCCTTACCTTAATACACCTGAACCAAAAAATCCATATTAGTTGGGTGTTTATTTACATATGGGAAACTCATAGCAGCGGCAATCTTGTTCCATGTCTGAACGGTAAAAATACAAGCCGGTATTCAGGCCATTTCTTCATCATGTCTGTTCTGTTTCCCATTCAGGTTCTGGTTTCTGATGAATTCATGCTCTGAATTACCTGCACAAACAGTCAATTTGCTGCCCCATGTCCTGTGAGTTCACATGTTCATAGAGGGACCTGGCAGGATAACTCGTCTCAAAGGAGTTATGCTAACGAGGAAAAATCTAGGTCCCTGACATTTTGCACAGACAGACTTCTTGGCAAGCACTGAATGTATGTATGTGTGAATGAACACACCTGGTTGCACCTTCCTGTGTTCCTCCAGCCCAGATTCTTAACAGACCCGTTGGTCCACGCTTGTATCAGAACAACTGAGACTCAGGAACCTTCGAATAAACACGCAGTAACTGAAGAGGTAGGCAGCCTCGGCTATCAACTTCTGCGCAGGGCACTAGCTTCAGCTTAGTTCACAATAAAAGACGGAGACAATCAGAATAAGGAGACAATTATTTACCTCATCATAAAATAATAATCATATAATTTGGAGCTAGAGGGATCAAAGAATTTTTAAGACCATCAGGTCCAACTTCTTAAACTTAGGCGGCTTAGTCACTCAGTCATGTCCGGCTCTTTGTGACCCCAGGGACTGGAGCCCGCCAGACTCCTCTGTCCACGGGATTCTGCAGGCAAGAGTACTGGAGTGGGTTGTCATTTCCTTCTCCAGGGGATCTTTCCGACCCAAGGATTGAACCCTTGTCTCCTGCACTGCAGGCAGATTCTTTACCCGCTGAGCTGTCAGGGAAGCCCCTTCTTAAACTGACAGAAGAAACACAAACTGGAATTTACTGAGATAGTGTAATGAGCAGGATACCCCGGAGCCTTCTGGGGACCCACCTTCCCTCACATGCTCTGCTTCAGCGCCTCTCTACAGCACCTAGACAACAGGATTTGCTGTACATTTCCTGAGTTGTTTCTGCAGATGTAGAAAGAAACCTCCCCCACCAAACAGAAGCTGTTAACTACTTGATGACCTTGAGCACAGAGCCCCAGGCTCCTGGAGCCTACAGACTGAAAAGTTAACCCCTGGGACAGCTCCCTGGTTCCCCACCATCAGCCAATCAGAGAAATTGTGCACAACCTGATCTCAGACCCTGCGACACCTCCTCCCTCACCTGGCTTTTTAAAATGCTTTGCTGACCTTTCAGGAGCTCAGGGCTTTTCAGGGCATGAACCACTCTCAGTGCCCTGCAATGAACCTTTCTCTGCTCCAAACTATCGTTTGGGTTTGTCTGGCCCCACTCTGTGTCAGGCACATGGATTTGTGCTAACAGAACTGTGCCTTGAAAAGACCCTGAGATTTACAGCCTGATAAACGCACATTTGAGTTGGATCCGCCGTGTGTAGCAAGTAGGCCACAGTGGCAGGTGTTTAAGCCCACAAAGCCTCAGCCTCATGATCCCCAAAACAGCATCAGCCTGCCAGCCCACCAGTGACGGCAAGCAAGGGACAGCACACGTGCACCACTTCACACTGTACCCTCACACACAACAGGCACTTTAATTTTTTAAAAAGTGACAGAACCTGAACTAGATGATCCCTCATGGTTTAGGACCATTTCCTCACCCAGAGGCAGAATTACCTGCAGGAACCTCTTCAAGCGTCTATGCCGTCCCCTCCCATTCCTGAAAGAGTTGGGGTGCTGCAGGACTGTAGCTGGGGTGCAGGGCAAGTGGAGGCGTGCGCTCGTTTGAGCCCAGTGTAAACACCAAGAGGAAGTGTACAAGAGAGTCAGACTGAGGACTGCCAGCAGGAAGCGTGCCCGAGTGCAGGCCCGTGTGAGTGAGGTTCGGAAGGGGACAGTTGGTGCCATCTGAAGCCCGTGTCCTTCCCTGTGGGCAGGAGCGAGCTTCTGCAGCCCTGTACCACACACACACACACAGAGGAGACAAAGGCTTTGCTCCTGACTCTTCACTCCCTGTGATAAACACCATCCTAGAACAGCCCTCTCCCGCGCAGCCCAATGTGACAGCCGGCCCAGAGGAGAAGGGAGACCCAGGGGGGCGCTGGCATCCTCAGAGCTGATGGGGGCTCCAGCTGGAGAAGAGAGAAGTCTACCCTCTCTCAGGATGAGCAAATGCCAGCCCCAGCTCTGTGCTCAACTCCACTTCTAACGAGGAGTGGGGTCTGTTTAGTTGGTGTCCTTAGAACATATTAACAATAAATAAAGCTTCAATAAATATGCAAAGTGAAAACTAATTTAAATTGACATTTGTGTCGGGTGGGGTGAGAGAGAGTCCTTTACACCATAAAGTGATTTAGGATATATTACCTCGGGCATCTGCATTACAAATTTACCTCTCATTACAGTTATGTTAACGGGAAAAGGCAGCTTCTCAACAACATTGGAGGCAGGGTTTATTAGCATGAATTTGCATAATAATTAGCTCTGCAGCAAGCAAAGCCTGGCGTGTCTTTCAAACATGCAACTTTCAATGTCAATTTTCTGTGCTTCCCTGCTTGCCCCTGTTTGTCTAACTCTCCTGGAACCCCTGGCCCTGCTTCTGCCAATTGCTAAATTCTCTCCTACTGGTGTCTTTGGTCTCACGTTTTCACAACCTCTACCCGGCTCCCCTATGGAGAAAGTGAAGGCAGGTATCCACCTGGGAACATGAGTGACCATGAATCCAGCTGGAGGTTTCACTGTGTGTGGACAGAGGGACAAGTTTACACACCCTCCAAACTCAGGTGTCAAACCCAGCGGGGAGAACAGCAGTGTGGCTAAGTCCTAAGGAGGATATAACCCTAAGCAACAGTTGATTTCGGAATGCATAAATCCATGTTGTTTATCAGCAGTTTCCTTTGTAATTATGTTGTGTCTAAGCTAATACTGTAATTATCTCCCATTGCCGGGGCTCCTGCTGACTGGGTGGTCAGGGCAGGCAGCTGTAAGCATGAGGAGGAATCCCGTGCGAGGTGATGTGAAGGGCATGTGGGCTGAGGATGTTAGCTGGACTCTGTCAGGACCAAGATGGGGGCAAGGGAGGCCACACCTTGAGCTTCCAGATGTTTCTGCAAACTTCGAGGCAGACACCGAGCCCCTGAGATGCACAGCACCCTCTCCAGGTAAATCAGGCTCCTCCCCACCTGCCAAGGTGAACGTGGAAGCTCACTCAGAAAGGGGGCTAAGGAGAGGGAGCGTGGGTCTGCAGTGAGCACCTTCTCCAAGGGCCAAATGATGGGAGTGTTTGTGCACGTACCCCAGACACATCTCATTCGTGTTGGAGTGTGTTGGCAGCACATTCACAGCACATTCATGGTCACTCGGGTCTCACCAAGGCTTGGCCCCACCCAAGCAGTGAGGTGGGTCAGGACAACTAAAGGTATTTTTGCTTGTTGGCTTTTAATATTTATTTATTTGGGTGCTCCAGGTCTTAATTGTGGCATGCGGGATCTTTGATCTTAGTTATGCCATGCGGGCTACATTTCCCTGACTGGGGATTGGACACATGCCACTTGCATTGGGAGCACGGAATCTTAGCCACTGGACCACTCGGGAAGTTCCTGGACAATTAAAGGAGATGGGTTAAGTAAAGCTCAGACATCTGGACGACTCCACTCAGCCAGAAAAATTCATATACGTATGTACAAACTCATGTAAATACGTGTACTGTGTATTCTGTAAAAGACTTAGCCATGATCCCTTCTCATGAGTGAGTGAGGATACAAATGTGATTTGCTGCCTGTTTACTATTTCTGAAACCCCTTTTGAAAATCCTCTTATTGTCCCAAGCATTTAGTATTATGTGCTGCATATTTCGATGTGTAAATGAGACTTAAAGACCTTTCTGATTCCGAAACACATGCTCTTTCAAGGAAATAGAGAGGCTTAAAGACAAAATGCTGGCCCCAGAACCAATGGGTGTTGCGCACCACTGCCCCTGTCCTGTCTTGTGAGCAAGTCAAAAACTGCTCCCTCGAATGTGAAAAGTGGTCAACAGTGAGATGGAGAGCTAGAGCAGGAGCTTTGCTGTCACATCCACCGCTGTTCATCCCCACCCTTGTTCATCCAGTGATGGGGAGGGCACCAGCCTCTCTTATAATTTTCTAAATGTTTGGACTCTTCTCCAGGAAAACGTGCCAATCAACATTCATTCAAAATTCTGAAGACTTAGCATTCATGGGCCTCCTGTAAAACCCTCTCTCCCTAAGATCTTGCAAATCCTAGAGAAAATCGGTCTGAAAGAGCCCAATCCTCTCATTGCATAAATGGGAAACGGGCTCAGAAAGGATAAAACGCTTGTCCAAAGTCGTGGAGTAGGTAAGTAGTTAAGTAGAGATGGTGAATCCAGTAGAGCCATGTGATCCCCCTCCCTCTGTTCCTGGAAGAGTGTTATGTGCTGACCCATGGCTCTCAAACCTGAACAGGCAAAACAGGAACAGCAGTAGGGAGATGAAAGCCTCCTCATGTGTGTATGGATGGTGGGGAGTATGACTCTTAAGGGGTAAGTGTGTCTGCAATGGTGACAAAACTGGTCTAGAATTAACTGATGGTGATGTACAACCTTGCGAATGTGGCAAAAACCAGGGAACTATATACTTCAGAGGCATACATTCTATGGTATATGAATTATAGCTTAATTTTTAAAAACCTACTATGATAATCATTCAAAATGCTATTAAGGAACTTTGTACTTAAGGAAATAAATGAGAGATGAAATATTTAAAATAAGTCAAAGGTAGTGGCAGCATAATCCCCTGCGAGATTTAGGGAGGGGTAAGAGTATTTAGAAGGAGAAATCAGAGATGAGCGTATGGCTAATTACACTAGAGAGCTTATCACACGTCACAGCTATGGAGTATTACCCAACAGTTCAAATCATTCTCACACTCGCCCCACTGACCTCTGGGGGCTAGCTGAAGTCGGTCTACAGGGCATGAACTGCATTGTGGAAGTGCTGTATTGTCTCCTGGCAGAAAATCATCTTCACCGCATATTAGAGAAGAGTTGACTCTGGGCACAGCCCTGGTCTAAGGAGAGGGGGTGTACAGTCTGCATGGAGCCCCCTGACAAGTCTCCATCACGGGACAAGCGCTGACACACCCTCCCCACCAGCGAACATCTGGGTTCTCAGGACCAGACAGTGAGTCACAGAGACTTAGGAGAGATGCTGACGGAGGGTTCGTAATACAGACGTCGCTGACCTGGTGTGTTTCAGTCGGGAGAAGAGAGCTCGACATAAGGTTTGTGCAAAGATGGTTCCTTGTGGAAGTGGCGCTGGCAGGGGTGAGTGGTGGAAGGAGAAACAGCCAGTACAGAGGAGAGACCTTGAGTGAGCTGAGGAACAGGTGAGTTCAACTCTGCAGTGCCCTTCGAAGGAGCCCTGTAACTATACAGCCGGGTCACCTGCCCGAGGGTAAAGAGGGAAGACACACTGCCCGCCTCTGCTTCTGCACCTGCAAGGTGGCACCGTGGCATATTAATGGTCTCACACTCAGGTTAATTAATGCCTGAGCACCTAGCAGTTTCCTGCAGGCACCTGCCAAGCCCCGGGGCAGAGGGGCAGCAGAGGTGAGGTGCTCCCTGCTGACATCTGCGAGAAGTTCCTCACCCCTGCACTGCCCAGAGTAAAAGTTGGGCAGAAAGGATGCGAGCGGGGACACAGGCAGTGTGAGATCCGGAACATTCTAGTAGTCCCTGGGGACCAAGGAAAAGCAATGCCAAGGGACAGTGTTACTAGCAAGGTTTCCATGGTGGAGACGCAAGACCTCACAGGAGCCGAATGCGATGAGATGTGTTCCAGCTCCATGCAGTGTTTGACCCTCAAGGGAGGTTGGTACCTCTCCTGCCACTTACACAACCACTCACAGAATCCAGATGCTGTGAAGGCGGGGGTGATGCTGACACCATTTATCTGTGTCCTCAGCGGTCATATCAGCGCCATGCCGGCCACAGAGCAGGCTCTCAACCAGCACTTCATGAGTGTGGAGTCAAACATCGCGAGCAAAATAAACACCTTCTGGTCTCGACACTCTCACCCTCAACAATGCTATCGCCACTCAAGTACAGTCAAACAATTATAGAAACCGTCTCATTGAAAAGCCACTGAATCCCTTAAAGGAAGAGCAATGACTTATCACATCTGTTTTATAAATATATAAACAGCTTACAACAGTGGCCCAAGGTCACATGGATTGTATATTGCACAGCCAGAATTCAAAGCCGGTTTGACTTATTCCAAAACGTACATTCTTAAACATGAATCCACCCTCCACCCCAAGCCATCCATCCTCTACACGACTGACTCCGGTAATGGGAATCTCATTCATTATTTGCTGAGAGAGCTTGTTCAATCTTTAGAGAGCCCTTGGGGCCGTACAGAATGAATCAATCCACATTTCTTTCTCTCAGTATGCAAATCTACTTGGAACATCTATATCTTTCTAGAATTCATTTCAATTCATAATCTTTCATTTTTCTAAGACCACGGAGTGAAAGAGCGGCTTGACCTCCGTGGCTCTGGCCTCTGATCTTATATGAGGGAACCGTGCATACTGTTTGAACTGAGCTAAACAACCAGGTCCCAGGTTTTCTTTTTCGATGTTGGTATAATGGCGGCCCCTCTCTGCACTCTTGGCTTCCCTGGTAGCTCGCTTGGAAAAGAATCCGCCTGCAGTGCAGGAGACCCCAGTTCAGTTCCTGGGTAGGGAAGATCCCCTGGAGAAGGGAAAGGCTCCCCATTCCAGTATTCTGGCCTGGAGAATTCCATGGACTGTATAGTCCATGCGGTGGCGAAGAGTCGGACACGACTGAGCTGCTTTCACTCTGAACTCTGGCCAGTAGGAGGCGCAGTTCTCGTAACTCTTCACCATATTTCATGGTGTTGGTCTGTTAGATCCTGTGCGTTCCAGCTCCCTTTCAGGTGGAGAAGAAGCTGATGGGAGCACCCAGATACTCTTACCCATGAGACTTTAGAGGAAGTTTAGCTCAGCTCCCAGAAAGATGGAAGCTGAGACCTGGGGGTGAGGAGGGGAGGGGGAATAATACCCAAGAGCTAGACCAGACCCATGATGCCCAGGTCCCTGATGAAGCTGACAAGTTGGATGGTTCACAGATGCTGAGGGACAGCACATTGCTGCTGGAGCTAACCTAATTTGCTACTTTACTTTTGCAAGAATATGAGTAGCCGTGAGTTTGGTCATGTCCATGGTCATACCTCATTACCAATCCCTTTGCAATACAAGCTTCTCAGCACTAAAAACGCTTAAAAATAGGTGGAAAGAGAGCCATCTTTCAGCCCATTTAAAAACTGTCCACAGCGAGTTGCAAAGGTGAACAGCCATGCACAGAACCCGGCCATCCATGTGCACTCACGGACACTCTCTTTCTCTCAGGCATCCCCGGCTGGGGAGGAAATGGTGTCTGCTCTTCAGGGCCCAGGAATCAAAGCAGAAGGGAGACAGTGAGTGGAACAGATGTCCACCTCTGTCATGTCCCCACTTCCTTCAGCCTCAGCTGCATTTTCTCAGACAGAAAGGCTGAGTGTGTACTCTCTCTCTTGAAGTAGCTGTAAGGATGCAGAATGCTGGCACAGATAGATATCATAGGTGACTGCAGGATCGATGTTTCTGTGGCATCGTCAGGACTGGTTTGGCAATCTGCTAGCCTCCCACAGTGGCCTATCATCACTAGGTTGCACAGAAGCCAAGTTTCTCCAGGGAGAGAGAGAGGTTCCTTGGATCTCAGAGCCTTCCTTTTAATGAGACACAGACGCGGATAAGGCCGTGTAACAGGTGAATCCCTTCATCCTTCCTGCCTCTCTCTAAAGGAAGGATGACATTTCCCCACTGGAGGGACTAGAGAAAGGTGTGGGCTGGTGCTGAACTGTGTGGGAGGTTCAGATGCTGCATGGAAGGCCTCCATTTGCTGCGGGCCTTTCTGCTCCAAGGCTGGATTTCCCTGTTAGAACACATGGGTCACTTTATTGATGTCTCACACCAGAGGCCCGCAAAGAAGGTTTGGCCAAGAAAAACCGTGACCCTGTCTGGGGACTCAGAGCATGTAACCTGGACAAGGAGATTGTTTGGGGCAAGCCAGAACACCAGGATACCCCCTGCTCCCCTGGGCCTGAGGCACTCTCTCCCTCGGACAGAGCTCAGCATGCACAAAATGTAGACCCTTCCAGAACCGGAAAGAGACGACAGCCACCAAATCTTTCTTCCAAATCCCAATTTTCCAGTAGTTTTTCTATTTCTTCAGTTATTTGAATTATAAAGTTATGCATGTTCATTGAAGTATGTTGAAAAGTATAAAACATCTAATGTCAAATCCATAGTCCCTGCCTCTGTCATCTACTGGATTTTAGCATTTTAGAAATACAGTGTGCAATCTTCCATAATTTACTCTTGCATGCCTAAATGTATATAAAATTGGTGAAACTTTCTTTTCTATAAACAGGTTAATGGAATATGTAATATTTTACACTTTATTTACTTAGCATTTTGTAGATTCCCTTTCAAGCGAATGCATGTAAATATTTGGTGAACAATTAGTTGCTTCTAATTGTACATTTACCTTCCAAATATTTGCCACCATCCCTGATTCCAAAAATATTTCTATCTGAATGACTGAGGTTTTCAAGGAAAGGGTCATTTCTAGGATGAATTATTGAGCTCTCCACTTCCCTGTGCTATGTAGACCTCTAAGCTATCACCTTCACTGGCTCACCCTTGTAAAACCATGTGAGAATGCAGGCTACCATCACCATCACCACCATCATTATCACCATCATATGCTCATCCCCATCACCATCATTATCATCACAATATCATCACCATCATCTATACCATCATCATCACTATCATCATATCACCACCATCATCACCAATATATCATCATCACCATCACCATCATCACTATCACTATTATTATCATCATCTTCACCATCACAATATCATCACCATCATCTACAACATCATCATCACCATCATCACCATATCATTATCATCATCATCACCACATCATCACCATCATCACCACCATCACCATTACATCACCATATCATCACCATCATCTACACCATCATCATCATCACCACCATCACCAAGACCAACATCATCATCATCATCATCATATTATCAACCATCATCAATAGTCTCACCATCATTATCAGCTCTCAGGGTGGATTAGAGTTGTTGAAACCTATTTCCTGATTCATAATTCTTCAGGTTCTAGCACAAAGTTTACCTGGTTATCCTTCAAGCAGATGAAAGCCAAACAAAGATTTCAGTTCTTACACCAGCTCTTACACCAGTGGCAGTACGTGTAAAAGGTAGTGTGGGGGAAATAACTTGGTGATCAACCAGTGAGGGTCACTGCTGGACTGAAGTTAGCACATGTGATTTACTTTGCTCTTCCCTGTCAACCTACTTACAGCAGGCAGTTGAGGTATTTTTCCTTGAAGGAAAATGCAAGGATTTGCATTTTTGTTGAAGTATTCTGCAACAGACAGAATCCCTAGGTTATGGACAGCTAGAGCTAATTTCTTTCTGAGTTCTGGGTTCCCTCGTGTGACACTGAGGAAATTCACCAAGCCATTTTCCAAGCTTCTTAAATAGCTCTGTGAGCTGTTTAAAGATCCTAGTCTGTGCGGGTATCAGGAAGGCTGGGAATCTCTAGGGATATTTGGAGGCAATCTTGGGCCCCATCCACCCTGAGGAAAAGACTCTGGGACTTTTCCAGGGACCTGGGAAGAGAAACACAAGGAATGAGGTTCAAGTTTTGCTGGTCTGCCTCCAGTTTCCTTGGGGACTTGGTATGATACTTTGTGCAATTAAAAAGTAGAAAACAGTCTGAAATCAAAAGCAAAATAATATAAGAGCTCTGCATAATGGTATCTGCAAAGCTGGATTCTATATGATTTAACAACTGAAATGTGAAATTATACAATCAATAGAGGGAAATGTCGGAGCGAGTCTTTGTGAACTAGGACTGGGAAGAATTTCCTGAATTTCTATAAATAACTTCAAAGGCAAAAAGCACAAGGAAAATGTGATGACTCTGAGTATGTCAGAAGATTTTCTGTTCAATGAAAGAAACACATTTGGTATGTGGTTTAAACACAGTTGATTTATTGGGGGAAAATGTTTGCGATGTATAAATCACCAAGGAATAATACTTTGTTTCTGCAAAGGAATTCTTCAGATCACCCAGAAAGAAAGAAAGAAAAGAATCTTAATAGAGTATTGGCAAAAAGTTCTGAATGGGCAGTTTAAAGAAGAAACTCAAATGGCGGTCAGTCCCTGGAAGACACCCATATCTCACTGGTGATCAAATAAATGCAGATTAAAATAAGAAGGTGGAATCAGATCACTTTACACATAACGGACTGCCAAAGATTAGACAGGTAGAGATATAAATGGTTGTGGGGAAACAGGCAGTCTGGACAGGGATCAAGTTGCACTTAGATTAAGGAAGGAATGTAATTTAATATATAGCCCTTTGACACAGCATTTTCACTGCTGGGTCTGTGTCAGCCCCCAGTTATCATCGGGTCCTAAAGAGATATTGGCAAGGACGTGCCCTGGAGGACTGTTGCCATGAAGGAGGCTGAAAATGGTTAAGTTGTACATAATCTGGTTGATGGCGAGGCTACAGGTGGTGGGCACATAGGTGGAGACCCTGCAGGGATAAGTAACAGACTCAGGGCACAGGGCAATGCAAACAACCTCAGCACCAGGGCGGGTGGTGGACTTAAAGTGACAACAGCCCACTCTGCACACGGTTTACAGCGGATGCGTGATCACGGCAGTAGCAAGGCTCACTGCCCACGTGCCGTGACATTAAGGTCAGCAAGCCAGCAAGGACAACCTGCCGTGAAGCGGGCATAAGAGCCACTCCCTGGCCTGTGCCAAGGAAAATAGAAACAAAGTGAAAGCCCGTGGGATTTTGCAGTTGAGAGGCTTTCACTGATCCTTTCGATGCCCCTGGCTCCTCTTCAGTGCCGAGAACGAAGTAGGTGGCCCTGGAAGTCACATCCCCATTTAACATGCCCAGGTCCCCGGAGCCTTTCCTCCTCTCTCAG